TCAAACAATGAATTTACTTCTAGGACTACGAGACATACTCTAATGACTTAATTGGTCACTCCATTCAATAATGGTAATTTTAATTTGATTTTTTTGATTTAAAAAAAAAAATTTAAGTAAAATTTTAACATAGCATATCAATGGTAATAGAAAAACTTCTTATTCATTTATGTAGTTCTTTTTGCTTAACAATAATTACGTTAATTTGACCTTTTAGCTTTCAAAATAAAAAAAACTAAAGTAAAATTTAATATAATATTCAATATGCTTTTTTAAGAGAAAACTGAAGTAGAAAGATACCACTGCAACAACAAAGCGCCAAAAATCCCCCTTTTTTTTTTAGAGGGCAAAAATGAAATAACACCAGAACCAACTTGGTTTAAGATGAAAAATGGTCCAATGGGTAGTTTAAGAGAATAGAAGTTAGGCTGAATGAAATCAGGGATTTAGGTATTTTAGAGGATTAAAGTGTACATAATTTTCAATTTAGTATATATAAACTTACCATCTCACTAATTTTAATTTTCTTTGGCAGATTTCATCATTTTGGTGCAATCCACAACATATTCTGCAATCTACAATGTTTTCCTTCTCAAAATCCTTAAATTGGAGAGCATATGTTTCAAGCTAGCAGGTGCAATTCTTTGATTTCTAGATATTTTGATTATTTTCTTTATATTCATTTTTCTTCTCTCAAAAGGCTTATTTCTTTGATAGCTTGCAAAATTCTTCACTAATTATTGAACTTTAGTATATAGTACAATCTCTTATTTAGATTCTAGTGTGCTTTTCTATTTTTTAACTTTTTTTTTATTATCTTTTTCTTCCCTTCCTTTTAACTTAGTCTATGTATAATGAAATATTTTAAACAGCTAAAAGTACATTTGCCATATATCTGTGGAGAAGCCTGTCCCCAAGCATATCTTCTCTTTCAACATTCGAAGTATTTAGAGAAAGCACAAGCAACTTAAACCAGGTACAGTTTTATCCTCATATTTTGAACCAGCTTATAACAATATTCTTTTTTTTTTGTTTTTTTGGTCTCATTCTTTGATTTAATGAATTGACTTTTCTTTACGTAAATGATGTGATGTAGAGACTATATTATGGAGAACTTTGTAGGGCCAATCATTGAAATTGTGAAGTCTGTTGGTGGTCCAATTGTGAGGTACCTAAAATATCAGATAAAGTTCAATGGTCATTTGGAACAATTCAATGCAAGGAAACAACGCTTGTGTAGCCGAAAGGGTGATATTAAATCCATATTGGACACACAGCTTCACTATGGGAAAGTTGCAAAGGAGGAAGTGCAAACATGGTTGGAGGAAGCAGAAGAGTTTATTGCTAAAGACATTGCAGCTGAAGTGAATGGTTGGGGATGTCTCTCATGTTGTTGTCGAGTAAAGGTTCTACAGGAAAGGGCTCGAGAATTGCAGGAAATATATGAAAGAGGGGATAGTTTGGCTAACAAGTGTTTGGTCAAAGATGATCCATCTACTTCAGGAGTGAAATTGCCAGCATCAGAATTACAAGGTAGTGGAGATGTCAAAGAAGAAATTTTGGCATGCTTGATGGGAGATGAGGTGACAAAGCTTGGTGTTTGGGGAATGGGGGGAGTTGGAAAAACAACAATCATGGAGAATGTCCACAACGAGTTGTTGAAAGAAGCCAAATTCAAGAAAATAATTTGGGCAACAGTGTCACAACCCTTTGATATCTACAAATTGCAAGAGCAAATTGCATCCACCTTGAAGGAAGAAGATACACGTAAGCATCCAAATGCAACTGTACGTGCAGGAATGTTATTAAAGGTGTTACAAAGACACATGCCTTACTTGTTGATTCTAGATGATGTATGGGAGAGCTTTGAACTTACAGCTGTTGGAATTCCTGAGCCATTGAAAGGTGATGGTTGCAAGTTGGTATTGACTACAAGGTCACAAGAAGTTGCTCGTGGAATGGATTGTGAGATAATTGAAGTGAAGACTCTTCCAAAAGGTGAAGCTTTAAAATTGTTTATAAATAAAGTTGGAGATATTGTTTTATCAGATCAAGGGTGCATTAAAGGAGCTTTAGAATCAACTTTAGAGGGGATTGTAGATGAATGTGATGGCCTCCCCTTGGCAATTGTTACAGTTGCTGGTAGCTTGAAGAGAGTATCTGAGCCACGGTTGTGGAGTGCTGCATTGAATCAATTGAAAGAATGCAAAAGAAAAGTAGCAGGTACAAATGATGATGATGCATTTGGGATATTAAAATTTAGTTATGATCGTTTGGAATCCTCAAAATTCCAACATTGCTTTTTATGTTGTGCATTGTATCCTGAGGACCACAATATCCCAATACATTCTATAATTGATTATTGGATTGATGAAGAGCTAATAGATGAAAAGGAGACTGTACAAGCAATGGAGGATGATGGCCTTTATATATTGAGGAAACTTGTAGACAATTGTTTGTTGGAATCCAATAAAGTATTTGAACATGATTGTGTGAGGATGCATGATCTTGTTAGGGACATGGCACTGCAAATTACAAAAACGAGTCCTCGGTTCATGATAGAAGCTGGCAAGGCATTAACAAAGCTACCTGAGAAGGGAAAATGGACGGAAGAACTTGAAAAGGTTTCATTAATGTGGAATAGGATAGAAGAAATTCCTTCAAGCATCCTATCTTCAAAATGCACAAGCCTCACAACTTTGTTGTTGTCCCACAATAATTTGTCAACAATTTCAGAATCTGTCTTTGAGCATATGCCTTCACTCAAAATTCTTGATCTTTCCCACAATTGGTTGAGGAGTTTGCCAGTCTTTGAGCATATGCCTGCGCTCAAAATTCTTAATCTTTCCCACAATTTTGGGCTGAGGAGCTTGCCAAGTTCCATTTCCAAATTGGTGAATCTCACTACACTCTTGTTGCAAGGGTGTCGATCCTTAACAGAGGTTCCATCTTTTTCAGAGTTTGGAGCTTTAAAAAAGTTAGACCTTGATGAGACAACAATCAAAGAAGTCCCTAAAGGCCTAGAAATGTGTACAAATCTCAAATATCTTAGTCTTAGAAAAGGTCAACCTGGACAATATTGTAGCATATTAGATGATGCAACATTATTAAATCTCTCCAAACTACAACAATTATTTGTGGACGAGAGAATAGCGTTAAGAGGGGAAGTGATAGGGAGATTGGAGAAGCTGGAAGCTTTTCATGGCAGGTTCCCTACAGCGCATGACTGGAGCAACTTTTTGAAATGTTTTTATGGTAAAGGAGATCAGCTGAGTAGATACTCTGTTGCAGTTCGAAAATATGCTTACGTGATCCGTCATAAAGGTTATCGAAGAGTGGAATTGCATGGAATAGATATTGTTGGAGAGAATATAATATTGCCACCCTCAGCAGATGGATTATGCATTGGACATTATCACAACCTAAGAAGCTTAAATGATTTTTCTTCCATTAAAGATGCAACAGATTTGAGGAGCTGCAACATTGAGGGTTGTGAAGGCATGGAGTGTGTTTTTAGCTCGTGGATAAACCCACTCGTCCAAACCCTCGAGCAATTGCATCTTGATGAATTGGTCAAGTTGGAAGGCCTATTTGACGCAGAAATGATCGCCATGTCCCCACCACCGCCACCTGGCACCTTTTCATCTCTTAAATCTATTCGGCTTGTGGGATGTGGTAAAATAAAGACATTCATCCCGTCTTGGATGTTGTTAAGGTGTCTCCAAAGTCTTGAGCAAATTGATGTCCAGAATTGTGAAGAAATTGAAGAAATAATAGCATCAGATCCAGAAGAAGAAGGAGGGGACATCATCAAGGAACTCATTGTTCCAAAATTAAATCGGCTGATATTGTGCAGGTTGCCTGCATTGAAGAGCATCTGTAGCAGGAGGGCAGTAATGGTATGTGATTCTCTTCAAACTATTATCATTGACGATTGCACGTGCCTAAGGAGGATCCCTCTTTTTCTTCCCCTATTTGATAATGCCCAATCATCTCCTCGTCTCAAACAAATCAACCTATTACCACAAGAATGGTGGGAATCATCGGAGTGGGACCATCCCAATGCAAAGGAGGTCATTCGACGCATGTCTAGTTTTTATCGTTGATACGCGATTCCCTCAAGACTCATTCGACAAGCAGGTTAAATTCACTTCTTCTTCTTCTTTTCAGTTGAGTGTATCTTTTTGATTCCATGTGTCTTGAAAAACTAGCAAACGAGCTTGAACTTTGTCTGTTTATTTGTTTCTTGAATGATGTGTCTAGGCAAACTTCAATTCTGCTTATTGCATCATGGAACGAGCTTCGATATTTTGTTATTGAATTTACCCTTTTTATAAGGAATTTCATATTTTCTTATCAAATTGGTTGATTAATGTTTAAAATGTATAGTACTGCTTAATTTACCCTTCTTTTGAGGTATTTGATATTTAGTTGATTTTCAAGGAATGAATTTTTTTATTTTTTGTGTTTTTAAAATTTAGTGCGACTCTTTGCAAATCTTTGTTCAAATCTTTGTTATAGCATTTATTTCCTACAAATTGAAGAATTTTCAACTAATGAATTTTTCCTTTTTTTCAATTGATCAGGAAGCAGACTCAGTCTGTCTTGTTCGGTGGGCTTCAAAGGATGTGCTTTCTACTTTTTAGTTTCTATCCTTGTGTGGATTTAAGTGTGATTATTGTGCGTTCAATTTCATATTGTGTTTGTGTGTGAGAATAATTGTGTTGAAAACAGGCTTCAAAGAATGTGCTTTCTACTCAATGTAAATGTACATATAAAATATGTTGTCAGTCCAATCTTTGTGATTTAAGGCTAAGTTGGAATTCCCACTTGGAACAATCAAATCAACAATTAATTCTCTTCTTCTGTTCTGTTAGTGTGATAGCTTCCTATTCAATCGAACTACAGATGGCAAGAATTCAAATGTTTGATTTTAAAGGTTCAGAGAAATTTTGTGAGCCAAGCATAAAGGTTGAGGACTCTCTTTTTTGTAAGCACCCTGGTTGTAAACGAGCTTGAATTGTTTAATTGTTTCATGAATGATGTGTTTAGGCAAGCTTGAATTCTACTTATTGCATCACAGAATGAGCTTTGTTATATTTTTTTTATCAAATTTACTTTTCATATAAGGTCTTTGAGAGTCCTATGCAAAACATCTTGTTTATTTATTTCGAGCTACAAACTGTTCTTTATAAAATTTCATTTTTTTGGGAAACACCATACATAAATTCATTCAGGGCTTCTTGAAGGAAGCATTCAACTATTTATATCATCGCCTTATTACTTCATCTACTATATATATGTCTATCACTAGTAAACCTTGTTCATGTTCTATGTATATGTCTTAATCAACATGTATCATCACTTGTTTAGTTCTTAGGAGAAATCTTTCTGAAGAAGAGTATAAAAGACAGTTGCCAGCTCCAAAGGATGCCATTAAGGGCGCAGATGTTTTGTTGACATTGTTGACTGGTACATTTTCTTGCAAACTGGAGAGAACTTTACTGTGTTTGGTTGTAATTGATGAAGCTGCTTAGACACGCAAAATAGCATGCTGGAAAGCTCTACTAAAGGTAATGGTGTGTAGAAAATACATGTAAAGCTCTTCCCCTGATAAAGTGATATTAGTTGCACTGCCATGCTTATTCATGTTTTGAAGGTCAAGATGTATCATTGCAGGAGATCATGTTCAGCTTCCCTGAGAGGAAAGGGTTGGGAAGAACCTGTATGGAGATGAAATTAGATCTATGATCATTGTAATCAAATTTAATACAATCATTTGCTGACCTAAGCTTATATGAAAACAATAATCCAAATTAATTTCTGTACAGCTCACATATTGTAGGATGAAGGATGCACTGTACAGTCAAGGGTGTGCTGCCGATTTGTTATGTTTGGAGAAAGACCGTTCATGTTCACCGGCTCCTTTAACTCCTATCTTGATCCCTCTCAAGTGTGTAATTATTTAGCAATCTTGATTTTGTCTAGTTTGGTTCTTTTGGCTTTGGCGTAAATAACAACTTATGCTATTTGTCTTTGTTGAGAAGCGGATTGTAATCTCGTTATGTTGCTTGGTGAAGTGCTAAAATTAACTATTGAGGTCTTCCACTTGT